TGGAGTGGTCTCTGCAAGTCTCTCTCCTGCTGGCTTGAAACAGTCACACAACAAGGAATATATCTAGGTTCAAATTACTCCATATGATTTGAAGCAGCATATGGACTGTTGATCTGGTGTCAACAGAGGAACTGTCATTTCCAACAAGCCAAAATTAAATTCATAATATCAAAAGCCCCTGTCACAAATAATGGCAAGATCACAGCCCTAGATCAGAATATCCTTCCAGATTTAACTCTATTACAAAATGTAAAGTTTGAGGTGGCTATGTTCAGAAGTCATATGTTGAAAATTATATTTGGTAATTCCAGGCTAATGTAAATGATTAAATTAAATCTATCACCTTGGTGATAGTCATAGCTCTAGTGAAAAACAAAGCATATTACGCAAAGAAAAAGCATTCTGATAAGAGGAACAGCTCAGAATAGTGTCTTCTCTAGTCTACTGCATACTTTCTCAGGAAAGGTCTGGGGTCAATTTTCTCCACTTCCCAGGGGAAGGAGGCACCAATGAATGGATTGGTCCAGCAGTTTAAAGAAGCTGCCACATTCTCTTTTTTGAAAAAAAAAATTAAAAAACCCCAAAAAATTGCTTTGCTTGGATTTCTAACCAGAGGAGCTGGTTCACTGCTATGAATCCAGACTGCAGAGGCATCCAGGAAACTCCACTGGCACTTTGAGTTCCGAATGGTTCAGCATTCAAGCGAGTCATATTCTCTGAAATAACTCTCCCCTTACACTGGAAATAAGGGAAATAGGTGACTGCTTGAAGGTTCCCAGCAGGGTATCCAATAGAAGGAACTGCTATTGTTCCCAGTGTGGCTAATGGAGAGAGAGACCTAATGAAGCCCCTGCTCTAAATCACTGTCTGGTGAGGTGCCTACCTATTGCCACTGATCACTTAGAGAGTTCACAGCTTCCATTACCTTAGATATATAGTATAGTTGATGGACCTCGATCATTACTGCATTTTAGGGAGTGTGAATAGCTTGCCTGTCTCTTTTTAATCCTAACTCACTCTAGTGGATTTAACCCTTCGGTCTGAGCAGCAGAAAAATTCAAATTTAAGAGAGATTATTTCTGCTCCCCTCCCCCCGCCAAGCAAAGTCCAAGAAGTTAATACAGTATGAAGATCTCTTTGGAAAGAAGTATGATCTTTGGTGCTTGAAAGCAATCCATATCTAATTCCTGACTGAAAATGGCAAAATTACTTTGCTGAAAACTAGCATGTCAAACTAGGCCAGATTTCCAAAGGTGCTGCATTTTTTATCTCTAGGGAAATCAAGGATTGCTATAGAGATAAAAAACTATCATTTCTAAAAGAGTGGTCCCTTGTTTACAGCCAACCAGTCATTGAGAGGTGAACCTGTCATACTCTTAATTTACCCAGGGAAATTCTGGTAATATTGTGACGATATTGAAAAACAGTTATTTTAAAAAATATAATTGCACACATAATTAAGCAGTTTAGGGCTTTTTTTGCATCCTCAATCTGTCTAATTCAAAAGCATGTCCTCTCTGGAAGTTTCGAGTACAATATACACTTCTAAAAGTATTTTTCTTTCTTCTTTAGTATATGAGTTGGAACCCCAAGAATATGCTTATCTGTGACCCATTTTCAATGGGTAGAAATTAGGACAGAACTACTAAGTCTCAACTATCCCTTTTACTTCCAAACCATTAATCCATTAATCACACCATTTTGAACACATACTCCCATGTTCAGTGAGAATGGTATGTAGGCTGTAGCATTAGTATGGCTGCAAAAATGAAATAAATGCAAGAAACTCTCGTACTAAAGATGTTATTCACAATCTGGTTAATAATTTTATATTGATACGTCACTGCAGTTACCAAAGAACCTCCTTGATCTATATCTTTGCAATAACTGCAGCTGTAAAAACAAAGCTGCAATAGTATAGGGGTTTTTTTTTTGTAAAGGAAAGTAAGAATCCAAACACTCATAGCATTATTTATTTTCAGATAACTGACAAAAATAATTTGACTATGTTCTGTATCAACTATGCATGACCCTCAAAAATCACTGGCAGACCAGGAATTTATAACTACAACACATTCCCTGGACAGTGCAACTATTTGGATTAATTGCATTAAGAGACTTAATTTTGAAGGATTTGGGAATGTTTTTACAAGGTTTAGGAAGGATTTCATTGGGATTACATGATGAGCAATTTTGAGTGTGCTTAACTGTTCACATTAACTCTCTAAGCAACCATGAAACGGATCAGTCACCACTGATTATTAATTCTTATCCAAGATTTTGTCACCATAAAGGGAATATCTTTGTAGTTCAGTATACACTTCAACCAGCCAGTAGAAAAAACCCCTTATGCTTTAGCAAGGATCTCAGTGCTGATGTTCTTCATATTGCTGGATTTGAACAGAGTGAGCTTGTACTCTGCATATTTCTGTTCCCCTGTGTTACCTTCAGAAAAATATAACTTTACTATTTGATCTAAAATGATATTTAAGTTGGTCTTTATACAAAGTGATCTATATTTTCCATATGATATTACTTGCCAATACCACTTTCAAAGCTCTGTTAATTGCAAATTTAACTTAGGTATTGAAACTGAGCACCAATGTCCTAAGATTAAGATATTAATTCAAGGGAGAAAATATGCATAAACTAAAAAGTTTTAGCAGTTGCTCTACTTACACCAATTATCCACATCAATTTTATGCCAAATGTCCTGTTACACGAACTGGGACAACAAGGCAGAGAACTAGGGCATCTATATAAATTCTGGAAACCTGAATTTAAAAAATTTGTATTTTGTGTATTTCTGGGAAACCTGAAGTTTTAGAAAGAAATGCACTTCTCTGTGTTTTTTTTTTTTTTCTAATGAGATCACAACTGCATTAATATATCAAAATGTGAGTGCCCAATGCTGAGCACAGTGTTCTGTGGTATGTTATTATCTGATGGTAAATATGCAAATGCACAAATAAACCAAGAAATGATGCCTGCAAACCCCATTGGGAAAAATAACAGAGGCAGCTGTGCACAGAGCTCCAAGAACACAGGTCAAATTTATGAGCATATGTAGATTTGCTCAATTTTTGTTTCAAAAACAAATGTTATCTTTCACTGCAGATAATTTGTGTTACTAGATACATCAATTATTGTACAGTAGAACAGACGTATTTTGGCAGTCAGGAAGTAAAAAAAAAGTCAAATGCTAAACTTATACTTGAGTGGGATTTATTTGCTTGTTTGTTTGTTTGTAATTTGCACATTTAATTACCTGTGGGAGAGATTATTGTGGACATTGGTTTTTTCAAAATCAAAATCAGGTGTGAACAACTATTGATGGAATTACCTGTCAAGAAAGATTAAATTCTAATACAGAACTCTGGAATAAATTAAATGAAGTTTTTAATTTTTTTACATTTAAAACTTGCCTTGTAGCCTGGTAACTTCATTGTTGAAACTGAATGGCAGCAACTGAGATTTCCTGACTCAAGGAAATACTTTCGCAAAAGCAGCTAAGACTATTCTATTTGGAATGCTGTAAAACACAAACAGCTGTATATTTCTCACTTGGCTACACTATTAGATCACTAAGAAATTATATCAGCAATAATATTGCCCAACAACTGTTCTTCATTCAGGTGCTGTCATTTAGGTACTTTTACCTATAAACTATCCTGATTTAAAGTTCAGCACTGGTCATTTGTTACAGAATACAGAACAGTCAGACTGGTATATTACAGTGCTATTACTGCTCTTCCCTTTGTTTCAAACATATTATTAAATGTTTTTATTATAGCAAAGAAATTCCCAAATGTTTGTCACCACCAAACACTTTAATATGAATCTCACCAACAACAGATCGTGCATATCTGCAAGTCAGCTTTTAGCGGAATAAAAGTGCGTGCAAAAGGTGAGTTAATGCAGAATCTATGGTTAAAATTCATACATAAGTGAAAAATGGCTAGAGAACCTAATTAATGGTTCCTATTGGAACTTCTGATTCATCTGCAGAATTAGATGTGGAATTGAAAACCCAATCTGCTGTAGCACACTGCAGAAACCATCAACTGAAAAATATCCAGCTATGAAATAAAATCCCTTATTATAAAAAACATTGTATTTGACTGCCAAGTGACAGGAAAGATTGGCTGTGCTTTTAAGGTACTTTAAATATTATATTAATATAGAAACCTGAGTTAAGTATCAATTTCTAATTGCTTGAAAGAATAGTAAGGCAGAATTACAGAGCAGCAGAAAAATCACTTTTGCATGCCATTTTTTAACATTGCCGACTTCTGACTCGTAAGCTTAATTCTCTGACTAAAAATTGCCTTATTATCTTGATTTTAAAAGATCACAGATCACAGCAAAAACTCAACTGAGAAAAAGAAAAAAGGCATTTGCAACAAGGGTAGCACACCCTAACTTAAGCTGAAAATGTGAATTATATTCCAACAAATATCATTTAGCCTGATTTATCCATTAAAAAAAAAAAAAAAAATGAGAAAAACACATTTTGATTGAACCCAGCTAGAAGAGTGGATACAGGCTGTGTATATAAGAAATAACATTGAGTGGTTTTAACCAGTTTGAGTATTGCCTCACAAGCTCAGCATTGGGAAATGGTGTCCAGTGTGCAACCTTGGAATGCAAATTCCCCCAGTTTTCTCGGAGCTCGCAGAGTTCATTATACCTCTTTGTACTTCAAATGTGGTGGGTAAAGGAGCGGGAGTATTTTACAACTGTAAACCTGGACTGACTGCAGAAAACTATTAAATACCGACTTTTTAAAAGCTGAAATTAATTTCTGATTGTGGATTAAGTCTTGGAGGAAGATCCACTTGCGCGCGTTCTCGACAACACCAAGGAGCCACCACGGCCCAGCGAGGAATGCACGAGCACCAGGAGCCGCCGTTCAGACGGAAACAAACAGGAAACAGCGGGGCGGTGCCTGGCGCGGCCGCACCGCCCTCAGGCGAGCGGGACGTTCGAAGGCGGCAGCGGCGGCGGCGGTCGTGGCCATGGTGGAGGGCCCGGGCTGCGCGCTCTGCGCCGAGCGCCTGCGGGCGCGCCTGCGCCGGGGACAGCGCGTGCGGGCCGCGCGGGGCGGCGCGGTGAGGGCACAGGGACGGCACAGGGACGGGGAGACGGACACGGACAGGGCGGGGGAGCGGCGCTGCCGGCCCGGCCGCCGGGACGGGACAGGGCGGGGCAGCTGCCTCGGGCAGCGGGGCCCAGCGGTTTTGCTCGTGGCTGTCCGCGGTGGTAAACGCCGCCTGGTGTGGGTGAGAGCAAGCGAGCGGGCAGGAAACGCTGGGGTGCCGCGGACTGGCGGCCGGAGCCCCGAGCGGGGTGGTTGGTGACCCCGTGCCGCGGCTGCCGTCGTCCGTGGGTGGTGGCGGGTGTCATCCGCCAATACTGCCTTTATTCTTCCTTGAAGTTGTGAAATATTCCTGGCAGCAGCATAATAGGTCTCGGCAGGTCAGATGTGTAAAGGCGATGCTGAAGCTGTAGAAAGAAACAGGAGATTTGAGGTTAATATCTTTCAGGACAGATTTTTTGAATTAAGGAGTTGCGCTCCTAAGGTTTCAAAAAGAAATCTCTCTCCCTCAAATAGATTTCATTATCATCATGTTGTGCAGTAAAAGGCACCTCAGGGCAGCCTCTGTTCATTAGAAAATGACCAACCTAAGGGTCTTGCACTTTTTAGATTTCACAGAGGCTGCTGACCATGGCCAAAGCCTCGACCACTGCTGAAGATTACACTCTTTAGTAGAGTTTGTGCTATGATAACTGTAAGGTTTTGCCTGATACCAAAGAGGTGTGAATTTACCTTCAAATATTTGAAAACACAAGTTAGTTTTCCATCTTAGTAATTTCTTATTCTGGTTTATTTTTAACAACCCTGAGTGGCTTAAAGTTCAAATAAACTTTGTTGCGCAGCAACAGCCTCCAATACTTTTATTGGAAAGTATGAACTGTTTACGTGGGAGCAAAATTTTGCTTTCTTCATATTTTGATAACAGACAAAGTAAGTGTTATGCAAGAAATGTTTTTATTTTCCTACTTGACAGAATATTAACCATAAAACTCTAAATGTACATCATTTCAAGGTAATAATACAGTGGGAGATTGCATAGAGAGTAGCTCTGAAATGTCACTAACTAGCAGAAGCCTGGCTGATTTGCCAGAGTTGCATTCATACATATTTGCATTGAAATTGAGTGCTGGAATTGAAACACTGATATGTGTGTCTGCCTTGCAGTCAGAGCTGTGAGGACAGTGAATCTGCTGCTCACAGGTTCCAGCAGGGTCTGAAGGGATCTTGGGGTGCTAGTCAGGGGAACCTTTGCAGACTGAGAAAAATGAGCTGGTAGAAAGTCAAGTTCAGCCTTTGGAAAACTTGCAGAATCCTGCACTTGGAACAGAAGAGTTTCATGGAACAGCACAGTCCTGGCTGCTGCTCAGATGGGAAATGGCTCTGCATCAAAAAAGGGCCTTAGGGTCATGTAGAAGCTGAGTCCATGTCACTTCCATGTTCCAAGAAGAGGGACAGCCCCGTGCTGGCCTCTGCAGGTTGAGGAGAGTGATGCTTACCTCCGAGCAGCAATTGCAATTGCACCTGAGTTTGCAACTCCCCAGTGATAACAAGATAATAATGTACTAGAGTGAGTCCTCTGGTATGATTAGCAGGGTGAATGAAGCACATGGTGCTCAAGGAGAAGCTGACAGAACTGGGGTTTTATTGCTCTCCTCAGGTACCTGTAAGCAGGATATGGAGGAGACAGAGCTAGGCTCCTGTTGGGCATGCACAGTGGGTGAGAAGCAGCAGGTGCAGGTGACAACAGAAGTTCTCATTAGGTATTAGGAAAAATTTTCCACCACAATAGTCAAGCCATGGAACAAGGGCCCAAAGATGCTGCAGTGTCCATCCCTGGAGCTGCTCTGAATCTGACTGAGCTCCCTGTCCTAAGTGTATTCTGCTTTGACCTTGTTTGGACAAGGTAACCTGTAGACATCCCTTATAATTTCAATGTATTTTCATCTGCTAAGCAAGAAAATATGATTGCTTCAATTTCACATTTGTCTTGTCCTTTAGTAGTGTCCTGCCTGCTGCTCACCTGCTTCTGAGATTAGACTAGCAGGAAGAGAGAGATATCTCTGTGGGCTCAGTGGAGGCTTTTCTGTAACACACAATGCACTGTGCAAAATACTGAAGGGCTGTTACTAACATTTGAAGAAGGATATAGATCTGCAAATGGCAGAATTGACACTGACATGTTTTTAATATTCAAACTGTACCTGTTTATTTTACACCAATCTGAAACTCTTATTATAAATTCATGACTTGAAGTAAAAGGCATGAAATTCCCTGATAAAAAAGATATATTGATTCAGTTAGGAAAAAAATTAAGGTAAGTTATGATGGTATTAGCGATAGTGACTGCTTCCTGGGTTAATAGTCTCATTGTTTTTGGTAGAATGCTTAAGGAGAAAATAGTTAATGTTGTCCAGGCTTGAAAATTAGTTTGTAGAGCTGTTTGCTGAATGTGTACTGGTGCTAGAATCTAAGCAGCATAAATTGTCTTTAATCTTTGTGTGTGTGTGTGTACTCATTTTTCAGACTGCTGCAAGTAAAGAGGGAATCTCTGGTCATGATTTCCTTGTTGGACATGTTTACAGGGGTGTGGAGACATTGGGAAAGGAACTTTTTATGTATTTTGATCAGAAAGCTTTGAGGTAAGTGAGAAAAAGGCTTCCTATGTATTCAGACTGAATGTATTTGGGGGGTCATCTTGATCTTGCTAATGGCACTTGCAGAGATTTGAAAGTGTTGGAGAGAAACTTCTCATCAGCCTCTGCAGTATAGTCACATGTTTAGATAATTTACTGCTTTACTCCAAGATTCCATGTAAAGGTATCTAAAAAGGACAGTTATTATTGACATGCTTTCTTTCAAACAGGAAGTTGCATTTTCTGGAGACAAAACAGTTATAAAACATGCAGTGCATTCAGATCCCTGCAGTGTCGTGTAGCACGAAATAATTCTAAAGTCTCACCTTTTTAGTTTAAAACTGGAAATCATCAACTCCTTACTACTAGTTCTCATTGAATAACATTTTCCTAAGTTTAATTAGCATGACTTTTCTATTTGTAATTAAAAAGAAGATTTATATTTTGCCCTATTTCAGGACATCAAAGGTAATGAAACACTTCAGAATTAAATTTTATACATTTCTTAATGCTTTTGAATATAAATGTGTAGTGGTGATTCAGTTGTTTTTTTTTCTAGTCATGAACTGAGAAGGCACTAGAATAGCTAATAGTTGTGATTCTTAGAGTTTATTTCAAACAGTATACTGGAGCTTTGTAAATGAAAGCATCAGCTATAAAATTGAATGAAAAATAATTTTCTGGTAGCATTTAATGCTTTACCATTTGTTAGCAAGATGCAAGAGTTTGGTTTAAAAATAAATTTGTCTAGGTTTAAAAATAAATTTGGCTCGTTAAGTTTGTGCATTGCTACTCATGGCACTTGAGAATTGAAAATTATTTTTTAAGATAAAAGTGATTGAAACAACTATATCACCTGATCTGACTTGTAAGAAGAGATTTGGAAATATGCAGGTTTTTAAGTAAATAATAACATTAATTACTTCATGTTTTAAAGAGTTAACTTCAAGAATAGGCTTCATGACATGTTGTCTTACCCCATCTGTAAATATTTTAAATGCCTGTCCTTCCTGAAATGTAAGAAAGCTGGGCTTACTGGAAATAGAGACCTGATATTGCATTTCTTTGGTCTTTTGTGTAATTTAGTCTGTTAAATCTTCTTGTAACTACAAAATAATCTACTTCTGATATACAATGTTATCTCACCCATTACCTTAGGGTTTTTAGGACTTGATTGTACCAGGTGAAATTGTAATAAATAAAATGTATGTGATAATAGTCGGACTTGTCCTTTGCTCAAGCATGGCTCCTCGTAGAATATTTTATAAAACTTAAGACCTCTTAAAGCATTTCTAATCTGTAAAATGAATGCTTGAAAGGGTCTGTTCTTCTACTTTGCCATCTGTGCATTTTTCAGTTTATTTCTTTTATTAATTTTTAATTGACTTGCAGGTTTTGCCGTGGTTGTAGGCAAAGAAAAGCAGAAAACAACATATGGCAAATACTAATTATGTTGTTTATGGTGTTACTGGATTTAGCTGCAATGTGATAACCGTGGTGGGAATATGGGGACTAAATCTTTCTTTTCATACCAGGTGACTTCTGCCTGATTTAACAGAAGATTTTCTGGTCAAGTGGCCTCATTTCTTTCAGCCTTCCTGAAAGTTTAAGAATCTGTGTTGGAAGATCAGCATGTTAAATGAAAAAAATTCTTAAGTGCACCAGAAATGGTGCTTCTTAATGATCAGGTTTGACTTCTGTGCAATGAATTATGAAGTCTATACAAAAACATCTGTGTTTGGAAGGATTTTTACTTGGGAAGCATCCTTTCTTCTTTGGGAATTGAGCATGATGTAAGCTAGGTTTGTTGCTGTGTCACTGGTAATGACTAGAATTAATGTACATGCATACTGACTTGGTAAAGTAAGGTTCAAAGCTCTGAAAATAGTCTGGTGTAGTGCTTGGAAACAATAGTGAAGTTAAAATACCTATAGAACCTCTCTTTCTTTCCGAGGATTCACTTTGGTATGAATGGTACCATGCGCATTAATCCTGATGGAAGCAAAGACAGAAACGGAGGACAACCAGTTTTGGAGATACAGCTTGTGGAGGATACTGTTTGTTTTTGGGATGTGACAGTAGAGTATAGGTAAAGCAGAAACCAATTAAACAATTTATTTCTTTTTATAACATTCTTTTAAGCTAAATGAAGAATCATGTACAAATCGTTAAGTGCTTGGATTCTATCAAGACAAAACTTTCTAAACATATCATATTTGTTGGTGTGGTAATTTGACTTCCTTACTTTTTTATCAGAGCTTACATTCAGTTAAAGTAGTTCTATGCCATAGTGTCATTAGGTAGTGTCAAGACTGGGAATGAAAGTTCGATTTCATTCTATTCTTAGATCTGTATGCTTAAACCCATTGCTCTGTTAATTTCTATCCAAGTCTCATTTCTCAACAAGAGTAACAAACAACCTGTCACGATTACTGGTTTCAAGTTTTTATGCTCCAAAGGTTGGGTTTTTATTTTTTTTCTTTATGGAAGCAAATTTTTATAATTGTTCTAATTTACATTAAACAGATGTTTATGCCCATTAGCACTGTACTTCACACTGCTGAAAAAAACACCAGCAAGCTTAATTTTAGTGATCAAGGCTCTTGAGTGGAAATGGGTGTGTAAATTAATAAAACATATATAAGTGTATAAAAATTACAAAAGACAAATCAAGACTTCTTGTACGGTATTATTTTCAAATAAATATGCTTACCCTAATAATACAAATCTTAAAATATGAATATATATTTTTCTAAATATTGTAACTACTGTTAATAATCTACTAATACATAAATCTATTACATAATAATAATTTGCTCGGTTGGTTAGAGCATGGTGCTAGTAATGCCAGGGTTGTGGGTTTGATCCCCATTTGGGCCATTCACTTAAGAGCTGGATTTCATGTTTCTTGTGGGATTCTTCCAATTCAGAATATTCTGTGATTCTTTGAAATGTGATGTATAAATATATTTTACATATATATATGTCATGTTGTAACGAGTGGACCATGTAACCATACAGTTAGGTATGTTTGAGGGTCCAAACACATGGGCTTTCCATCTTGGAAGTAGTTTAAAAGCAAGGAACTGGCAAATATTTTTCAAGCTACTAGGAACAAAATTAGATGATTTCTTATACATTGGACTAGATGCATGTTCCATGCATGTATCACTGACCTGTTTTTGGAAGAGGTATTTAATGGAATTTCCATGCCACTTCTTGTCACTGGTATTTTCATGGTTTGTTATCTGCGTATGATGTCCTAATGTGTTGTTTTTAAAACCACACTGCAATATTAGGATATATTTAAAATAAAAATTAATCAGTGTATTTTTCTCTTCCAGAAATGCAGCTGAGTGTGAGCAGAAAGTGAGGATGATGGAAAGTTTGGATGTCTGTTCTCCAAAGTTTAGCTTCTCAAGAGCAGAACATGAGATTAAGCAGCAGAACACCCGTATGTTGTGTGATGTGTTACTGGATCAAGCAGTGTTACCTGGAGTGGGAAATATCATAAAGAATGAAGCACTGTTTGATAGTGGTCTTCATCCAGCTCTTAAGGTGGGTGAAGGTCTCAAGATGGTTTTTAAGGACACCAAAATATTAAGAATTTAAATACATATTTATTTAATATTTTGCTATGTTCTTACCTTTATTTTGTCATCTGTAATTTCTTAAGTTTTTCTCGAACACTAAATTAATGTTTTATCATTATAACAGGAGGCTTTTGTCGTGGCACTTCTTGGAGCTGATTAACTTTCATATTTTAAGTCTGACATCCTGTTATGCTACCATTAAACTGACAGTCCATAAATAAGGAAAAGTGAAAAGTGCTCAGGTTTTTGTTCATTTACTACCCAAAATAGTTTATGTGGTAGAGTTAATAATTTTTGCAGCTGCTTCTTCTACTTCTTATTCTGCTGGCTGGCATCAGTTGTTTTTTCTACCATTGTTTATAATACTCTTTCTGTTTTAAGATCCTCAAGCGTGTGTTTTCAAACTTTGGTTGAGAAGATCATATTTGCAAAACAGAGATTACATAGGATGTAAGTGGAAACTGTAGAAGATTAGTAACTGAAAAGTTGTTTAAACATAGTATTTTGAAATTTGTTCATAGGATCAATCTGGACTTTTAAGTTTAGCTGTGATATGGCAGAGAAAAAAAAAAGTGATTTAAAAATTTGAGTTCTTAAGAAAAATAAATTTCATTGATACATCTCTCTAATTGTAATGCCTTGGATTCCTGTATTCTTCCTGAATATGTCTCAGAGGAAAGAGCCTCAGATGATAGGTCATATTATGATCCATGAGGAAATTGGGAGGGATGTGAGACTTGCTAACTGTTATTCGTGTGCTCGTGAACTCTTTGGTCAATATAGAGAAAAAAACTGAATTTTCTAGCACATGTTTTGCATGGTTGAGGCAAAGCATGTTGTTTGGTATGCATGCAGTGAGTTTTTGTAGTACAGAATGTAAACATGTACTGTTTTACTGAGATGATACATATAATACAGAGTCAGGGAATTACCACAACATGGAGAAAAGCAGCTCCATATCAGTGCGCAAAGTGCAGCTGCCTCATAGGTCTTTTTTTGGTCTCTTAGCATTGTACTGTTCTAAAACTCATTCTTGTCTTTCTTACAGGTTTGCCAGCTGACAGATGAGCATATACGTCACTTGGTGAAAATGACACGTGATTTTACCCTGCTTTTTTATAAGGTATTGGCACATATTTCTGGAAAACTTCTAAAATGTTACTCTGGCATGTTAGCTGTGTGCGATCATCTGGTGAAAACAGTATAAAGATGCAGCAAAGGAAATGTTTCCATGAATAGGAATGTTGGTTTGTGTGCTCTTTATTAATTGTGAATTGTCAGATGATACAAAGGTAGGGAGAGTCAAGATTGTCAGAATATGCACAGCTTGGCCCAAAAGACTTTCACAGATGCTGCCTGAGGGCCAGTTTAGTCTTTCTGTGCATGTGCTGTTATGCCAGTCTGAACATGTCAGAATTGATGTAGGCTAAGCACAAATTTACGTGCAAGGTAACATAAAGATTACTCTTCACACTGGGAACTAGAGATTGTCCCAGGGAAGTACGAAGGTAGTTGATGTGGCTTCCTATATAAAACTTGAAATAGCAATGAAATTTATTTGACTAAATAGTTTGCAACTTCTAATGACTTTTTTATCCTAACCAAAATAATGGTTTTGATTGATAAAGTGAAATAAATTACAATTTCTGCCTTCTGCTATAACTTCAGTAGGACTTAATTTCTTCCTGTATGAACTCCATAATTCTTGGTGCTCTAACTTTTCACAATAGAAAAAGAGAGAATTTGACCTAATTCTTCTATGTTTTGTTTCTTTAAGCCACATACAAAAAAATGAACAGATGTAGTGACATTTTTGTCTTTTTCTCTTGGTGTTCATGAAAGGCAAAGAGCTAGCAGTGCTAAAAAGAATTCTTTTGGAGGGTGAGGGCACCTAACATTCCTAAAATCATAAAGGCTAAAACTTTATTTAATAGTTTGCTTAAAATGTCTATTTTCCCTTGACTCACTAAAGAGTGCTTTAGTTTTTTGGTAGGGAAATGTTTTCATTTCTCTGAACTTTGTAGTGAAGTCTGCCAGTAAAGAGACTAGTTCTGCATCAACTCTAATACTCAGAAATTTAAAGGCTTTTGGACTGATAACGAACAAGTTATACTTTCTGTTTAGCCAGTTTGAAAACTTCTGTAGTCCACACTTAGCAAGTGTTCACCAGTCAAGTACTTTTAAGAGGGCTAGCCTCTCCTTCCATCTTTAAGAGACATAATGAAAATATGTTAATGAGGGATAGTGCTTGAATTTTTATAGACTGTTATAGATTGTTTGCAGTCATCATACTGTATCATTACAGATGCAAAGATGAAGAATCTTGTTTGTGTAAAAAGCTGTTGCTTTTGTTTGGTTTTTGCATAACTGAATGGTAAAAAAAGCTACTCATAAGAAACTGACTGGAAACCTTGAGGAGGCAGCTGTGAATATTCATGCAAATATATATTAGTAATTCCTTCTGATTGAATTACTAGTTTTCACTGGCACAAGAATTCTCTTTCAGCAAAACTGATGAATAAGAGCACAGCAGAAGCAAATATACTGTGCTCAAAGACACCTGTGTTTTGGGAGAACTCCAAGAGTTTTCATACATTATGGAACTAGAGCTAGTGAACTCTGCCAGAGCTGTGCTGGTGTTACTTGGCCAGCTGTGGTGTCATTGGAACTAAGTCCAAGGATTTGCAATTGTAGGGCAGAAACTTGGGTGGCTCAGCAGAGTTGGCTGCATCTCTACTGGGCACTTCTTTGGATTTTTTTTTTTTTGCCACTTTTAGCTGTAGTGTGTCTATGCTGACTTCATGGGTGTTTTGGGAATTGTCTCATGAAATGTGCCTGCCAGCTGTCTGGAGGCTTTTCAGGTCACTGCCCTTGAGCTTGTACTATACTTAATTTAATATGGCTTTCTGCCAGAATCTGGGGAGCTTACCATAGTGCCAAGAGGCTTTTCATGAGCCAGGTTGTCTGGCATGGCTAGGGCCAAGATGGAGCTGAGCAACTTTACTGGGCACTACCCAACATTTTCAGAATCTTGGGAATATTTCTGCATTGCACGGTTCTTTAGGTTTTGGGAAGGCTTATTAACCCAGATTGTAGCATCACATCTGAGCTGTGCTGTGTTTTTGGCTCTTTTGGGTGTGAGAGAAGGCAGTGTTTGTTTTGTGGTTTATGTTTGTTTTGTTTTCTATGCTGCATTGATTGGAGCTCATTAGCTCTTCAAGAAGACTCCTGCAGGTGTCAGGTCAAAGACAACTGGTGCTGAATGAGAGCTAGCTGGTCCAGCTGAACTCTGAGAGTTCCTAGCATGTATTTGCTTGCACCTTGATATTATGCCTTTTTTTTCCCTGTCTTTTATTTAATTATGTACAGAATTACAGACACTGTTATACGTGATTTGTCAATTCTTTACATAAAATAATGTGAAATACAGGGATACCGTTTATTAGTGTCTCTTAAATATCTTCATCTAGTCATTGACTTGACAGTGTATGTAGGGTTTTTTATTGTCAGACTCATGTAAAATGCATCCTGAGTCTCTAACCTGGATTTTAAACATGTTCTGTTGTAGTGCCGCAAAACGGGGTCTGCGCTATACCCACACTACAAAGTGTACAAGCGCCCAGCCTGCAGGGAGTGCAGTGGCAGCGTCACCGCGTGTCGCCTGGGAGACCATAGCAGGATGACTTACTTCTGCTCTCGATGCCAAAAGGCAGATCCCCAGCTTGTCAGTCTTAGGTATGATGGTAGCATGGTGACATTTTTAAGCTCCTCAAAGTGCTGTTACATAAGAGGAAATAGAATGGATCTCTGTAAATTTTATAACTAAATTAACTATGCCAGACGAAAACAGAACATGTTGCATGAAAAGAAAAGTTTTGGCTATTGGTATTTAAAAATGGTTAGAAGCTTTGATTCTTTGCTACTGTTCTTTTCAGAGGTGTCAGCTATTACTGTAATCAAATGTAGGAATTACAAAACAATTCAGAGTACTCAGATTTATTCACTGAAACTAAGTCACTGGAAAAGTTGCCCTTTGTTCTTGGTGTTATCAGTATAAAGGGCATCGATGTTTCTATACAAGTGAGTTGAATATCATGAAATAGGAATTTGTGTCGTCTTTTTTGCAGGATAGCCTCGTCAATCCTGGCATACCTAGATAGCTGTGCATTCGTGCAATTTTCTTCTGGATATAGAATTATACTAAGGATAACTAAAACTTCAGTAAATTCAGAGTGCAGTAAATATTTTAGGGGCTTAGTACTTTTTCTTCCTCCTTATTCGATTTTAAAAGTTTTTGCTATAGGTGTGCTGCAGAGACACTTTCACTTCCACATAAATTGTGCTAGCAGCAGCTTTCCTCCTTTTATTTCAGGAAAGCAGAAAGTGCATTTGATATCACAAAGGGTCAAAAGGTAAAAGTTCCAAAAGTACCTTATTCAGACTTAGGCATCTGTTATTCTTGAAAATTTTCATCTGAGGCTTCAGAATTCTGCCTTTATACTTTCTGTCAGTCTAATATAAGATGCTGTTTCACTTTGCGACTTTGCCTCGTTAGTATGTGTGGGGGTGTGTGTGTGTGTATATATATACATATATATGTTTTAGATAAGATTTACAGAACACACAAATCCCTCTCCTACCTCCAAGCTTCTTTCAAGACTCAGATGGCTGAAGGGATTTTGCTTAAAGCTTAAAAAATTGCCTTTGAGTACAGATCAAATATTGAAAATTCCAGCATGGAAGATAAATATTTCACAAGCTGATAACCCAAATCTGCTGTATTTTCAGAAAGTAATAATGAGAAATATTTTGCAGAAGTGTAGGAAGACAGTGTTCTTCTGTTGAGTCAGATAAGTAGAAAACAATGTCAGGAAAAAAATCTTTCTGTTTTCTAGAACAAGTAGTGATTTACTATTTTGTTGTTGTGCTTTTAAATAAACAATTAGAGTGCTGTATTTAAGTGAAAAACATGGTAGTGGTAGCTATAAAATAAAGATATTTTCTTGTCTTGTCCTTATCCTAATGGTCAGTTCTTTGTTTTCTACTGCACTCTTTTCAATTTTATAGTAACTGTTACCATGTAAAACTATGTATAGCTCAAGTAATTTATTTGCCATTCCAGGCTTTTCACATTTAAAGACTGGAAGGGGCTCATGTGATTAGACTGACTTGCTACAGATCATAAACTGTAGAATTTAACCCAGTGGTTCTTGGGTCAAGTCAACTAGTTTATGATTTTGCTCAACTGAAAAAAAAACTAGAAAATACCCATTATAAACTTAGCCCATCAAATTGAAATGTACCTTGAATTTAAAAAATAGACATTTCCCCACATATTTCATAAACTTGGAAAGGGTGTGGGGAGGTATAATGACAGGACAGATGACCCAGTGGAACAACATGGAATTAAATTCCCAAACATGACACACTGAATATATTCAGTCTAGTAGTGCATTTTTGATAACCGAGTAGAACAATTGATCGAATAACGTGAAAATACCCATTTTAACATTTACAGTTCAGCTGCTTTGTTTGTTAGCCACAGTATTTTGTTGAACGCTGCTGTAATATCTGTTCTGCCTCTCAACAGCACAGACTCTTTGGTATGTGAGCAGTTGTCATTATCCTCCTTAGTTTTCCTGTTGTGGAAGATGTAGTAGGTAGTGGATATCTCTACCATTATCTTAGAACTCTAGCCTCTTACTAGAGTGGTAAGTGATCATTATGGGAAAAGTGACTGTTAAAGGAGTGTCACAACAGTGCCCAATTGCAGCATTTGCATTATTGATTGAAGTGCTTAAATTTTTAGGATTAATGAAAGTCTCCAAAAAGTCCAGAATTCCACAAAAACTGTATAAAAAACCACTTGACAACTTATCAACCATAAGTTGGATAATATCATAGCACTTAAAAACATACATACATAACTTACTGAACAGGTAAATTCAAGTTACATTTAATATGCTGTCAGTGTTTGGACACTGTGACAAGAGCAGCCCCTTGTAACAGAAAGCTATAAAGGAGTAACTCTGATTCTAAATCAGTCTGTCAATATAGGAAGTTATAATTTACAGGAAAACAAATACAATTAAATCTTTAGTGGTGTCTGGAGTAGCTTTGTCTCACAAGTCACAGTTAGGTTCCCTAATTTTGAACAGGTTCCTACCTTTTTAAAAGGCTTTCCTGCAAATGGTGGCACACAAGGGACTTCCTAAATTTTAAAGCTTTCTGTGCTTTTGGCTATTATGATAACAAAGTGGACTTATGTGTAGCATTTAAATGAGAACAAAAAAAATTTATTTCTAGACTGTGTGATTTCTGCAGTTCATCTTCTAAACAGTTCTTCATTCAGTAATGCATTTGTAAACAAGTTTTGTGTACAAGAGATGGGGGGAAAGCCCTGAAAGAGTCTCCATTTCTCACCAAGCTTTTTGTTGCAGTACTTGGAAATGGTAGGGAATCTGGGAGACTGGGGCATTGTCCTGGAGAGTACCTCAGTTAGTAATTGTTGTGATAAGGCACGAAATGATGACACAGACACTGCTGCTCTCGAGGGGAACAAAAAAGAAAAACTTTATTTTCTGACTCCAACATTTATAGTTTTCCAAAGGTGACAGTGGATTGGAGGGTGACAGTGCCACCTCTCCAATGCCACTGGACAGACCAAGGGTCCATCAATTCTCTCCACCTCCATGAAAGAATGCAAAACATAGGTTATTTACAGAACTGTGTGTGAGAAAGTTTGTTGAAAGAATGTAAACATCAGAAGGCTTAACAAAGTCTTACAAAATCAGGGCGACAAATAATTAAATTTATGTCAATTTCTTGTTTAAATATTTTTATTTGTATTACTTCTGCAGCATCTTTGCCCTTGAGGTAAAGAAAAGAAAAATCAAAACTTGAACAGTGACATGCTGTCCGAGCTCTGATAGGAGGCTTAACACTGCACACTGCTTGTTCTGTAGCCCATGCCTCCCTGCACAGAGTGGTGTACGGCAATTTGTAGAGGGAACGTCACAAAACACTAACATCGTTCTTTTGTTTCACAGCAAACTGCCAGCTAGAAACAGCCTAATTGGCTGGGCATATGGCAGGGGGTCATGTTCTAATGAACATGTAGCTCGGAAATCTGAAGAGGAGTGGACGTGTATGTGCTGCACCCTAATAAACAAGCCTTCTGCTGAAATTTGTGATGCCTGTTTGACTTCAAGACCTGAAGGTACTGAAGGGTTGTCTGGCATCTGGATTGGGAAAGAAGGGAGGTCTATGATTTCAGTGTAGTTTTTATGTAGAAGTGTCTCACTGTGAATCACATATATGTAACTAGCTAACCTGAAGTCAGATTTTGAGGAAATCTTACACACACAATATGGAAACTGTCTTGTCTTAAACCCTGTAAGTGTCATCTTCCAACCTGGTGTGCAGGTGGGATTCTATAGATCAGTGTCTTCCGTGAACCTTTGTTTTTACTGGGGCAAGGAGTGAGAAAAATCTCCATTCTTTCAACTCTCCTTAAAATCCTTCAAATTTTGCAGTGTAAGTCTGAATTAGAAATCATCAAAGGTCAGAAAATTACCTGTCATTCTTTCAAGTGAACAAAAGCAGTATATTTTAGTACCCTTTTCTAAAAGGATGCCAGGTTTCTCTGAGGCTACTTTTTTCCCTTCAAGTTCAGAGTAAAAATGATTTTGAACTTCTTACCTTAATTTGTTGTTTGTGTCCTGTTGGAGCTTTTAATGCTGCTATCTACATGAAATATTGCTTCATTGCTTAATCGTTTTATGACTGGAGTGATGCGTGGAAAAGGCTTATTTGGCACTAGCTATAGTTCATTTTCTCAGGTCAGGAATCAATAAAATTATGTCTTTGTGCCTTACATGACAGTTGCTGTCAACACACGCTAATCTTGCATAATTGTTCTGCCAAATCAGCACCAGAAACCTGAAAATTTTAATCTATTCGTAGAATAAGATTTACCAACTAACATTTATCCTGGAATTAATACTGTCTCCTAGCCTTTATAATATATCATAATATATTATAAAGGCTAGCTGACAGTATGTGTACAAAGGCTTTAAGATTTGAAACAATATCTTTTTCCTTCTCCTGTACTTCTGAGTTTTACTGATTTAGTTATATGCAATTAATGAAATCAGGTGTGGAATTTGAAGCTGTTTTGGACTTGATGGAATACTGTTGGGAAATACTTTTTTTTTAAATATAAGGCTTTATTTTTGCATAGGAGTGATATTTGAGATTTTTTTTTTCAATATGGGTTTGCTTACCTCTTTTTTTCTTTAATCCTTAAGAGTTTCCCCTCTCACTTGGTTCAGTGTTTGTTTTTTATATTGTTTCTAAAATTACCAACTGTCAGCAGAAAAGTTTGAATTTTTGAGGATGGAATACTTTGTCTGTAAAATTTGCTGCTGGCCCTACAGTTGAAATAATTCAGTTTGTAGACAGATAATTATTTACCATTACATTGCAATTTCCATGCTCCTTTGCTAAGCACAAGGCCAAGCTACTACTATTCTTTCTTAAAAAGTCTGAATGAAACAAGTATGTTTCACTGTGCAGTAGTGGCAAAATGGAAGGCTCCTGGAAACAAGTAGTGTTCCAAGTCAAATGTAGAGATTCCTATTCTGTTTCTGAGTGAGAATGCCTTTGGAGAGAGTGTGTATGTCTCATCTACCCGTGTTCTTGTGTATGTCTCATCTACCCATGTTGTGCTTAATTCCCTCTTCTTTGTATGGAATACAATGGATCTCACAGAAAAGGAAGGACTCTCTCCTGGAACTTTGTGGTTTCTCAGCTACCTAAAAAGATTGCACATAGGATGCCATTAGGTTTTCACGGTTTTCTCAGGAAAGGGATTACCTACAGACTCCTTATGTATTAAATTGGTATTAATAAACTATTCCCATTCTTTTGAAATTATTATTGCCTACTAGGAGGGCCTCTGATTCTGTGAAGAAACTGTTGTTTATACCACAAAGCAAATGTCTGAACTGCTTTCTTCTGAAAAGCCTCTTACAGTAACTAAGTTTGGATGAACACATAGTTTGGAAAGGATGGGAACTCTGAAAACACTAGAAACCCCAAAATCTGAATATTCATTTTTGTGTTAATAGGAAGGTAGTACTTCAACAATGGATAATGCGTCGCTGCTTGGAGGAACTATGTTCCGTTATCTCCCATTACTGGGATTATAAAAGGTTATTTTGAAAAATGTAAATACTTTAATCCTTGTGTTTGGGCCAAAATAATTTTTTTATGGTTAATTGTCCAATAGCTTTCATTTACATAGTACTGTTAATTGATCCTACTCAAGCAATAGTAATGCTATCTTGAAACACTTGTTTTATATGACTCTTAAGAGTGCATGATATTTTTTATTGTAAGAAATTTTGTACTACTATCTAATTTGTGACAGGTTTTGAGATGGTACTGTAAATTTACTCTTTCATTCTCCAATGACAACTTACGAATACATATCAGAAATATAATGTACCATTCTGTGCAGATGGATTATAACTAATAACTTTTTTCCTTAGTTCCAAAGATGGAGAGTTTTGAAGATTCTGCGGCCTTTAACACAAACTTAATGAAGTACCCTTGTAATGATTTCAGAAAACCAAGCACAGAAATAAAAATCAATAGGAAAACTGCATTTGGAACTACAACTCTTGTCTTAACAGATCTTGGTAACAAAACTGTTTCGAGAAATGATATCCAGGTATCTGGTGGACACAGTGAGTGTGTTTTTCCAAAAAGCAATTGTAAACAGATCCAAAGCAATGCCTGCCAGTCAGGAGGAAGCACAGACAAGGAGTGCTCAACACATGTAACTGCCCTGGCTTCGTCCTCCTGTCAGCAGCCAGTCTCTTTCAAACACATACAGAAGAAACAGAAAACTGATCATGTACCTTTGGTTCACCCATATAATAGAGCAATCAGGTATGTATTCTAAAATGAAAGCAAGTCTTTATAATCCTATAAACCAACTTTATCCTTAAAGATTAATTGAATACTGTGCTGTTTGGCTCAGACAGTGTTGTCTTTGCATTTCTGCCAGAGGTAACTTATTCTAGGCTAACTATAATTTAATTCAGATTTCAAAAGCACTGAATTACCTAGGCTGTCTTGATGTTGGCATCTAGCCAGTACTGCTGTAAGCTAAACAGCTGTTGATAGTTCAGCTATTCCTATTGAGTAGGCCAGTCTGGTTTTAATAGGTCAAGCACATTTCTGCCTAAGGAGTTGTCTGGTCTTAGCACTGTAGTTACTATCTGTTTAGAGAGATCTTAAAATCAGTGTGAAAGATTACAAAAGGAAGCTGTCTGGATGAATGTATTCTAATTGAAGTTATTTGTCAACTACCAGGTTTCAGCATTCTTCCAGGAGAGGAAGCTCTGTACAGTTACCTCGATGAGCTTCCCATCGCTGCTTTTACTCTTAATTTCCCTCCCCATTCTATATATAACCATTTCAATGCTCTACCCATACTTTTATTTACAGAGCCCTGTTCAGACACATCCATTGCCTAGTTAAGAGAAATGTGAGAATCTATGAGGGTTGTCACAGAAAAGTTGGGCAGATAGTAACAACAGTAATGGGAGTGCAAGGTAGATGTCACTTACAATGGTAAATTATGCAGGCTGAATGTGAAATATTGATGATATGTTACAAAATTCTTCGTCATGTGTCTGTTCTGAGATACAGAAATTACTTCTTACATTGCTGAAGCATCGGTTTTGAAATGATCTCGCTGACTAGCCAGGCTAGACAGAATGAATACAATTCCTCCTCACACTCTCAGTACAGACTGAGGAACTGAGGCTTTAGGCAGGATAATTGAGAATACAGAGGACTGTAAACAAGAAATGAGATAGTATCAATCATGACAACAGGTTGTTGTAGCAAGTAATCAACTGAAATGTTATTTTTATAGTATTTTCTTAAACAACCAAAACTAACAAAAATCTGTTGGTTATTTTTATCTCCTTGTGTTTTAATGAGGTGTTGGAATAAAACTGCTGGTGTCTGCAGGACTGCAGTCTTCCAGACATAGAAGACAACATAAAATTCCTAAGCTGATAAATTGACCAGAATGAATTAATATTTTCTTTTTTCATTAAGGTTCCATTACTGCTTTTCTGTTCTATAAATATATTGGAAAGACACATTTCAGAGCATTAATCTTTTTCATGTCACTATTTTTAAATGAAACCTTGTATATTGCAGATAGTCAGAAATTGTCTTAATCATGAGGAAGAAGGAGACTTTACCCCATTCAAAGAATACTATTTCATCACTTCATCTGGATTATTTCTTGTCCAAATGTGATTTGGAGCATTACTGTATCTTTTCAGTAAAGAGGCTGAGAGTCTTTTCTGTGAAGCATACTAATGCCTTCAGACTGGAGTAATTAGTGGTGTTGGTCTTTTTCCCACTGAGAGCAGAATACTCTTTTAGAAGGTGTCAGAATTTTAGGTAGGCAGTATAACATCAGTAGTAATATATATTTTTTTCATACATGAATTTGAGTACTTCAAAATAATTTAAGATGTGGTGAGGAAAACCGATATAATGCCTCAAGGAAAGCACACAGTCGTGTCTATTCACAACTCGCAATCGTTCATTCAGCTTTGAAGGTGCAATAGGGTGCATTAGAGAAGCAAGTCCTTTATCTGTCACTGTGTGCAGAAGTACACTGGGTGAGCTATTGTAATGGTGGAAGAGAGTTCTTTGGCTGGTAATCCCTTTTAAATTACACAGAAGTCATTTTGTAACCTGTCATTCCAGCGCACCTCAAACTAATGTGAGAGATGATACTCGTACGTCGAGCGTGGGGCGTCCTCACTGCAGTAAACACAGCCGTCTCTGCAGCCTCAGAGTTGTGAGAAACGATGGAGAAAACAAGGGAAGGCAGTTTTACTGCTGCCCCCTCTCTAGGGAAACTCGGTGTGACTACTTTCAAGTATGTATAAGACTTCAGAACCTGTTTTTATAATCAGTGCTTGTTCCTGCAACCTCCTTGGCCCAGTGACCTGTCAATCATGGACAGCGGATCTATTCCATTTAAAGCTTTACATAAATACTCTTGCATACTGAATTGAAACTAAGAGCATAATAATAGCTATTGAACTTAACAGTTTTAGTTACTTCTCTTAGTGTTGAGATGGGACCTGCTTCTGCAAATGCTCTTTATCTACTTCTGAGTGATGTGAAACAGATGCATAAGAGAAATACTGGTTGGAGGGGAACTGTACAAGTTCTTCAGATCAGATTCTTTTTAAAAGGACTATAACAAACTAGATCTATTTGTCAGCCATATTTCTGGCTAGCCAAAATCCTGACAGCCTCTCAGGATGATGATTCTGTAATCTGCCTGGGCAAACCCTCTCACTGCTGCACTAATACCTAAAATGACCTTCCTAGCTGCAATTGGTGGCCTCTGCTCCTTGCTATGAATGTAGGTGTCTTAAAAGAGTTTGGCCTGAAAAGTGGCCTGAGAGTCATGACTATCAGGTGGTTAATAGATAAACTCAAGACAGTAATGCCTAAATTTGAAAAAAACACTTGTGCTAACATAATTTCAATTTGTACCAGTCAAAGTGCATGCAGTTGCAGTTGATGTTAAAGAAAAATCTAAAAAAGTGTTCACAAAAGAGATAAAGCTAATCTAAGTACTAAGAAGTTCTTCCATGGCATCCCCTGTAGGTCTTTTTCTATTGTGCATTTTAAAATAAGGAATTCATAGCCATCACATGTGCCTGAAACCTGTTTCTTTGGCAGTGGGCTGATTTGGATTTTCCATTTTGTAACCATGGCAAGCGATGTGTTATGAAGACTGTGTTGAAGATCGGTCCCAATAATGGAAAGAACTTTTTTGTGTGCCGTCTTGAGAAGGAAAAACAGTGTGGCTTCTTCCAGTGGGTAGAAAATGGGCCAGATATGCAGATTCTTCCATGATGCTCATGTTACAGTTATCTGTTCTTCAGGATATCTTAAGTGCCTGTAGTAATTTCTCTTTCATTCTTTTTCCCTGATTACTCATTAATTAGTAAAAGAGCTCCAATGTAAAGAACAGATCTAGAAAGAGTAATTTTACATAGTCATATAAAAATTAAACACTGCTTATATGCAGCCTACAATTTTGAAATAAACATTTAGCTTGCAACATAGTGTGACATACTATTGTATTTCTAATAAAAATTGCACTGTTTCCTTTTTACATGCATTGTTTAAAAATGTTTTGAATTTTCATGTATTTTTTAAATTTTCTTTGTATAAACATGTATTTAACAAAAGTGAATAAAAAGAATATACTTTATTAAATACCACTCTGTGCTTTCTTAGAGCTTAAGATGAAAAAGCAATGAACTGTACAATTCAAATATTACAACAGTTGATTGACCTTGCTTAGATTTGGAAAATAACAAAAAACTTCCCTAAAACAAATGACATGATTCTTTGGTTTTCTAAATTACATATTCTAAATCCATGTCTTAATGTTTTCTTTTAGTTGCCACTGAACATTTTTCCCTAAATCCATATATACTGGGTAATAAAATCTTACCTCCAAGATAGCTAAAACTCAGTTTATGTTTGTTGGTTTTACCACTATTTGCTTAAGCAAGGGGTAGAGTAAATAGAATATGGTAAGCTATCAAATCAAAAACAGAATTCTTCAAATCTTTAGAAAGTGTACTATAGATACTAAGGAAAGTGAGACTAATGAAATGGTCATACATCATTCAGCTTCATACATCATTCAATTGCAACCAGTTTTTAATTGAAAATAATGGGAAACAGTGTTGCTCCCAGCAAAATATGTGGAAAGAAGCACATTTAAAAGCACCTTGCAAATGGTTCTTTGGTCTGTGGTATTTTGTTTTATGGAGGACTACTTGATTTTCTTGAGAACATTGTATAACTTCATTCCAATTAAATCTTCCATTCCATGATGCAAGGGAAGCTGTTTAATTCTTTTCCTAAACAGCACAAATTCTTAGGCTTCTTCCTCTTTTCAGTAGCATTTGATACCTTTGAAATCTTTCAAAACTTTCCTTACATGGAGAAAATCTTTTTTAATCAGATTGTAGAAACTATAATCTTTATGTTGGTCAATGGCCTCTTTCCAAATAATGTATCTCTTTCATGAGGTACAGAACTCCACCTGAGAACAAAACAAGCTACTTCACATGGTGAAGACTTATTTTTCCATTGCTATCTCTCTCTGTGATGCTTCTTGTTGCAATGATGTGTTGCTGCTAGCTTTTGCTTATCCATCTAAATCTTTAAAATTGCAGTCTAACCGGTATTTGTACAATTCATTATGGTGATAAAGTGATTATTTTTAAATTGTACATGCTTTTGGATGTCTGGCACAGGAATTAATCTTCAGCAGTTCAGTTAAAGTTGAAAAATAAAAAAGAAATACAACCATTTATGATTACTTGCCTTCTACAAACGTTAAGATTTCTTTGAAGCTGGAAGTTAAATGAATTTTTCAAACTTTAACACATGAAAAATAACAGTTGGGCTCTTACATATTTTTTTAGCTTAATAGCAAGACAAGAAGTGAGTATCTGTTTAAATAAAATGCATACAAGTTTTAAAGGATTAAGTACATATGTAATCACTTTATTTTTCTGTTCTTGTATTTCTTGAATATGTTGTATATGGTATATTTGTACCAGCCTAATGTTGCTATATATGCTAGTTGTGTAATGTCACAAGGTGAGGAACAGCAGACAGGGAAATCAAAGGGCAAGGACACCCTGAGCTTATCACAGTGAACTGGATGAAGGAATCTCACGTGTTTACACTTAAAGAAAGTAGGAAACTAAACAAGAGATAGTGAATTCTAATTCATTAGATGCCTCTGCAATGCAATCCTTACTGCTTTTGCCAACACTGCTTTTTAAATTCTAATTTTTTTTGGTTTTTTTTTTTCCTTTCCTTTGGAGACGATGGCACTTTGTAGCTTGTTTAACAAGGTCTGGCTGATAGCTGGCTGTAACAAGTTTTGACCAAAAAAAGCTGGCAACAAAAATTCTCTTGCAATAGATTCCCACTCAAGCTTTAAAAAAGAAACTGCAACCAAGGGTGCAAAACCAGATAAAAGTCCTGATTTTTGGCTTTTATTCTAATAGTTTACAAATGTGTTTTTGTTTTTTCACATTGATTCATCTATTACAGTGCAAGTGATGGAACACACTTCTTTCAGATTTGTATCTGACTTACACATTTTAATGGCTTGTGTAGCACACAATGAACTGTGAAGGCTAAAAGGAATAACAAGACCTAAGTTAAAAGAGGGAGCTGTTTTTCACAAAGATTTTCTGTAATTTCTATTCCTAATGAAAGCAAATGTAAATCTTTGAGAAAAGAAATGTAAAGCTTTTAGAAAAATACAATCTTTTCTAAAGGCCTTAGGGTTCTGACACAGTTTTTGGCCTTTACCCAAACACAGCCAGAGAAATGGGATTATTACCTAACAGCCTACAGGAGGCTGTTAGGAGTGACAGGCTCACATAAGCTCCTTTGGATGATTTCTAAAATGCGGTGCTGATGACAATTCTGTAATTAAAAGGAGACTTCCAGTAAAGCTGACTTCTAAGTACTCTCATGTACAACTTTTAGGAGAGCTTTTTTAGACGTTAACACTACACAGTGATAGCATGACTCATAATAGAAATCTGTCTTTCACCTTAAGATGAAAACACATTTTTCTATACCACAAAACTAACCTCAAAAAGCCCCTGAACTCAGCTGAGATGCTATACAAAACAGGTTTTAGAGGATCAAATCAAGGTCACACAAGTTGTGGAGTAAAAATTTTAAACTCAGAAAATACTAATGCCATATGCCATAACCAGTTTCTGCTTTATTAGTTGCACGTTCATTACTATTACAGTTTAAGTAAGTTTAGGCAGAGTATATATCCTTTAGACTGAAATTAATGTTTATTTTCCAATTTGTGCCATTTGGTTTAGAATCAACAGATTTTTATGCCTGGTTTCATGCCTTTGAACCCTTATTTGAAATAGTTTTTTAACCAGGTACTTGTTAAAGACAGGCATGCCATTTGATGTCAATTCAAATTCAGCAAATAAATGAATAGAATACTACTTATTAATTCACTGAGGGACAACTAAATTTACTCTGAAAATATGCACTCAAGTTTTGGGACATGACTATGTCACAACTGTGACTACAGACCTTTACAATTATACTGCTATTCTGTATCCACCTTCCTACTTAAAAAGGTGTTAGTTCTCACTTGTTTTTCTGGAATGGAAACTTATGTAAGAGTCATTTATCTCGATGATGGAAAGAGATTTTCAAAGAAGCAGAGGATGTCTTAATATCAGTATGAATGCTGATCATTAGTGGCTAAGCATCTTTCACATGAAATCAAAAGGTATTGTAAAGTCTCTAACAGACTTCACAGCAACTGTGAACATTCTAGAATATTTAAAATTCTTTTCAATACCTCCTCTTGTACCTTTTTGCACTTTCTGCAATTCAGCTTGCTGATGATAGGCAGAGTTCATCATCCAGTGTAACTTAATATTCTGCACGTCTGTTTTTTATTTCTCTGATGCCTGAAAGGTTGTTTATTATGTCAAATTTTTACTTGAATATTCAAAACATACATTTAAAATTAATTTAGAAGTTTGTGGGAATGCACTATAATTTATATTAGTGGAACAACAAAATAAAATCCAATCTAAGGAGACAACCCAACAAATTATTTTCCGTATGAAAGCTTATTAAAAATGCATCAAGCACATTTACGGGTGAGCAGAATTCTGAGTGTACACAGTATTGTCTAAACATAGTTAGTGCTTTAGTTATTTAACTTACTGAATTGCCACTGCTGTAGAAAGTGCAGGTCCTTGCAGAGTTTGTATGCTTTGTAATTTTTTTTATAAAACCAACTTCAAACAACAGGACTGTCTTTCAGCGATTAGCCATGTGATATGATCATACTACAAAAGGTGCTAACACTACTCATCTTTTAATACTAAGGTTTTAGACAGAGAGATGGCACAGTAAAGAGAGACCTCTCAATACTGAGCAGCAGAGCCTGACTTAAAGGTGGCATGAACTGTGTAGTTAGGAAGGGGAAAGTGAAGCAAGAGTTCCTCTGTTTTGGCAGAGGAGAAAGCCCATTTGACTGGTTCAAATGTACTAATAGAGCTGAAATCTAAGTCAGACACTAAAAACCTGCATGATCTAAATAATCATCTACCCTACACTTCTGTAGAAAACATGTAGATTTAGAATGTTTTTCGGCTATTTTCTTTAAACATAACTTCTTTTGTTCTATCACAGTACTCATGACAACAGTGAGAGTAACCATTTGATGTGCAAAAAATCCTTCATAATTTATTAGAGACAAGGACACTGTAGTATGGAAGAGACCACCTGAAATGGGGAAAACTGGGAAATGTATTTAAGCTTTATTCAAAAAACAATGCAGCACAACACAGGGATCACCAGTTTTGTTATCTGCTCCCAGTTAAGGAGCATTTGCAAGGTGCTTTTGCTCCAGCTAGCTGACTTTTGGAAAGCACAATATTAGCTTAGGCTAACATTATTTCAAACCTAAGGCAATATCCATTAAGAATAACTAGAGGAAAAAAAATAATGCATAACCTCTCATGAAAATAAGTCAGACTACATTTCTCAACTATAAATAATTCTATACCAGCAAAACCCCAAAGGTTTTAATAAAAAAGAAACAAAATCCAAGCATTTATTAATTTATTAAATATGTTCTAGAACTTCAGGATGACCTAAACATAAAAATGAAAATTTTGAAATACTTTTAGAAAAACACTAAAGTTACAAGATATCTATAAACAAGCTAAAATTTAAATTTCAATTTTTAATCTAGACTACATTTGAAGAGCAACTTTGCAATATAAAAGTTAAACTCATCACTATAGCAATACTGCTGAGCCTATGGAAGTGAAAAATACATTTAACCAAAGTTCCACTCAAGGCAAAGATGGTGGGCTGTGGGGAAATTCTAAAGGATGGTACTTTGACATGAAGTGGTCTTGAATATAATAGTGTAACTTGCTTTGATTATAACTGAGAAATAACATTTAAGTCAATATTTAGCCTTGTAGAGGATAAAAGTAAAAAACACTCAACACTAGAATGCATGAGCAAGCTTAAAATCCATTTGTATGAACAAGAA